AGGGCGGGTGGCGAGGAACGCAGGCCATGCCGTCATTTCCCAATTAATCACTCGGCCCTGGAATCCAAGCAGCTCCTGCTCGCCGTGAAAACCTGAGAGGTTTAGAAAGCAAACCGCTCTGCTCTGCACAGTCCATTTCCGAGACGCACTATCCCTACTCTACTGCTAAAGGCCGGCAGAAGGTGTTTTGTAACGTTGTAGTGTTGATTTCCCTGTCTTTAACAGATGGAGGAGGAGCGGTTCCGTCAGTTTTACAACGCAGTTATCAAAACGCTGGCGTTACGATTGTTTTCCGTGTTGAAGCTCAGTTACTGAGAATGAATTTCCCCTAAAGCTCCCTTTCTCCTTCAATCACTAGGGGCCCCTGTACTGGCGTTTCACGAACGGAGTGATGGATAAAGGCTATCCCAAACCTCTCGCCAACGGATTTGCGGGGCTGAGTGGGAAAATAGTGGCAACCCTCCCCGTGGCAAGATACAACGCCAGACCAGAATCGGTTTATTTTATCAAAAAAGGTACGTCTTCATATTTCAGAAGCGCACCGATGATCAGAAGGTGCTTAAATTGGCTTAGTCAGGAATAAAACACCGCTTCTCTTGACTGAGAGACATATTTCTTTCCAGAACAGAAACACAAGTGACTGCTCAGAGTATGCTAGGTGGTCAAAAAAGAGCCTGAAGCTTTAAAAATTTGTACGAGGACTTACAGATCTTTAAATGCATTTGGAAACAGACAGGACCATAAGGGACAGAATCCAGCACTGTAGCAGACAAACATTTAAAACAAGCTTTATCTGGTGATAAAACTATTTTAGTCTCAAGTTAATTAGAGAAGGCTTTAGTCTTGCTAGTTCATAACTATGTATGGAAATCGCCCTCCCTATTTCTTATTTAGTATTTTAAATTAATGTAATTTCCTTCTATGAATGATGTACTGCCAACATAAAAATTGTTACCTGAATTTAAAAAGCAGAGCTAAATGAAATGCAAGTCCTTTACTGGACTCCTGAAATGCTGCCTCACCCTCTCCGTCATAAATAGGAACGATGGCAGCAAGAGCAGTTCCCCTGGCATTGCACTGACCTCCTGCAGGCTCGTTGCAGTTCCTGTAGTATCACTACATCTAGAAGCATGTGTTGGATTTAGAAAGCACGGCTTATTTAATCTCAAAATGTAGGAATGGATATAAAGGGCTGCAGGCTGCCACAGCTGTAGAGGTATTAAAATCATGTTACTGATTTCCTGCACGTGATACAGACCTCGATGACTTTTTCCCATCTGATCCAGCCAGTGGTTTGGTGGCGTTTTGGGCTGTGGGGTTTGTTTGTTTGTTTTTTTAAACCAAATGAAACACACGTCTGTTTCAGATGGCAACATGCAACAGTACGTGTACAGACAAGAGCCAGCCAAGAAGTGTCCACGAAGGACGCGGGTCACCATCAGATACCCAGCCTACGTCCCAAGGCTTGTCATAAGGAGACGCTTTCAACGCGCAGTGAGAATGCCAACCATCGTTCAGACTGTCAGAATCAACCCATATGCATCTGGTAACTTACGTTTATTGAGTTTCTGTTACACAACCACTTTAAACTTTGCAGTTTCTGAAACACAACATTCTGTTTGATCTTTTTTAAATATAGTACCTTTAAAATTCTTTACCCCAATAGCTCTCGCTTGCCGTAGACTACATAAGCAAATGACCGCTTAGACACACCGCGACACCTCCTCACTTTTCTTTTGCCTGCAGGAGTTTTGCGTAAGGAAATCAAAATGACGGCCTACTGGAGAGGGCTCCCGAAAGTTGTTCATTACACTCTGTCACTGCCCAACTACAACAAGCCAGACGGCTATGATTACTACGCCTTCTCTTACAGTAAGTTGAAGCTCATGCAAGTCGCTGTGTATCTCACAAGACATGGGGATGGGCAGGAAAGAAGCCCATGTATCTCATGTATCGCTCAGCTTTCCAAAGCATGAGGTTACGGAGACTAATTTTAAGCACTACTAAAAAGTCCTGAGAATTAAAATGTTGCCTGTCATCAAGAGATGTTTCTATTAACAAAACCAAACAGGGCAACTAGCAGCAACGAGGTACAATGATTCACACCAGCCAGCTGCAGAACACGCTGCTGTAAGAGTTCAGGCTGATAAAGTGACAAAAAGCCTGACGCTTAAATGCAAGATTTGGATTAATGATAGAATGAAATCCTTTGACCACTACACATCAGTAGTTTTTTCACTGGCTTCCATGGAACTGTGTTTCTGACAACACAAAAAAGGGAGGGGCATGAACTATCTTGCTTCACAAGAAAGAAATATTTATGATTCCAGATCAGGTAGATCCTTTCCCTCTAGCCAGCATCACGTAAAAGCATTCCTCAGAATTTGCTGGATTACTCAGCAAAAAACCTCTAAGAACTAGCCGTACCCGTAATTCCTAACCTTAACACAGGCCAGTTCACGCTCGGGGACCAGAGAGCTCCCACTTCGGTAGTCAGTGCAGGCTGGTTTTGTTCCTAGTTTGTTTGATTTCCATATTCTTAAGACTATTTCTGTGTTCTAGCAATATACAAGTATTCTTCCCTCTGCCTGTTCTTGGGACACATTTAATTATACGAGTCCTGTAAAACTTAGCTAAACACAAAAAAGGACATGTAAAATATAAAGCTGGGGACAAAAATTCATGGTTGTAGCCTCTCAACTCCATACGCATATGTGGAATGAAAAACCTGTTATTCATGCCTAAATGCAATTAAAAGGAAGGCTTTAACTTCAAGATTCCTTCTGTGTTCTAACTGTAGTTTCTGGGATTTAATTCTGACATATCTTCCTTTCAGACCGGTACTACAGTTTGGATGTTGGCAAAAGAATAGCAAGACCTGTTACCGCTCTCACAGGAAAGACCGTGTCCAAAGACTGGTACAACTGTCCTAGCAAGTGATGCAGAGCACAGGATTTTAAAAAAAGATGCCACCTGAATGTTGACATTTTGTCTAATTTTATTAATAAAGACATTGAAATGTGTGCACACAGATCTAAGTATAAAATGCTGCTTTAAGCTCTGGCTTCCTTACACTAAAGCAACCACAGGCAAACTGGCACTCTTGTATAGACAGCTGGAATCACTTTACAGATGATTTAACTGATATTGCCTCTGTTCAGGCCTCTGCCTCCCATTGCATGAGTTACACCTGTGTTAGGAAAGAAAACAAATGCATTAATAGAAACCCTTTGCACCCTTTTTATCAACCCTTGGTATGTGTGGTACTTTATCCTCCCGTAAGGAATCGCTGCTGCGGTGGAGCCGTAAAATTCAAGCTCCGCCTTCCTCCCCTAGAGCCTGGTGCTACGGACACTTTCTACTGCTGCCCTGTGCAGAGTTTTGTTGACTTGTGATCTTGGCTCAGGCCCTCTGCTGAAAGGACAAGTACAGTGTTCTTACAGTATCTGAAATCAGTTAGCCCCTCCCTTTTGTTATTAAAGACATGGTCACAGACAAAAAAGAAAATCTATCCCAGCTCGACCTCCTCACCCTTTTTTTTCCCTTTACAATCCCAGATACCTATATTTCAATGCTTCTCTCATATCTTTCTACAATGTGAAAATAATGCCAAACCAAATATAAATCATCTAAGGATTTTTCTTTATACAGAAGTTGCAAACAATAATTTATTGTCATGGTTTAACTCTACGCTGCATTACAAAAATCTGTAATGCTTCCATAAACACTTGTTTTTTTTAAATAGGTGTACGACATAGTGAGATAGTAACTGGAATCCCTAACTACCAAATGGGAAACTGATACGCAGTGTTAAAAACAAAGATTTCTAAACTTAGGTCCTAACAGCATTTTTTAAAACCTTCTTTTAAAAATTTGCGGAGTTTAAGATCTACTGCACTTTACTTTCTTTCCATTGGTAAGAGTCAAGTGCCACGTAAGCAGAAAGTTTGCCTAGCTAAAAAACGCTGACTAACGCACTAAAACAAAAGTACAGAGCTCTTAGGGTAACATACTGAAAGCTAGGGCAGGGATGCTGTGTTATTTAATGTCTTGCTAGCAAACACTGGCTTACAAAGTAGTATTCATGTACGGTCCCCAAAGGAAGGAAGCACTAAACCCATGCTTTTATTAAAAAGTCTGCATCTGAGCAACTGCGAGCGCTTACCCCTCTGTCTGTTGAACTGACGACCACGAACGCCAGTTCGTAATGTCGGTGGCTGAAGTCTGACACGTCGAAATGGCTTAGGCTGGTTACTGCTTGTGTCTGTGCGGAAGGGGAAATGCAAGAAAGAACGTCTGTGTCTGGTACAGTTTCTCACTGTTTAATGTTTACACGATTCGATACGCATTATGCTCTTGAATTTACTTTAAAATTATGAAGGTGCATCCTTATTTCACTGACATCTTCTCTGATATAAATAAAACCCTCAAAACAAGTAAGTTTGGGAGTCCTTTCATCACCTATGCTAAGTGGTAAACTGGTAACTGAATAGTGATTTACCTGTTCTTTGATGATTTAATAGAATAAAAAACTATTTTTAGATCTGGCCTCAAACATAACGGGACAATCACCAAAGTATCAACAACTTTTATGCCCTGAAGCATTATTCTTACTATGGCCTACTCTAATTACTCCAAGTAAAAATTGTTTGCCATTAAGAGTACAGGCATCAAAACGTGACCTTGCTCTAAGAGTTCTATGTGATTTTGTGTATCCTGGCTCTCAGCAGCGCATGACGCTGGCCTAAAAGGTTCCCACACTTGATGAAACGGTAGGAAACAACTGTTTCCAGCAATTAACCCATACCTGCAGATGAACTAGAAGGAGGATCTTGACTAGTTGAAGGAAGATCTGATTCATCAGATGCTTGAACAGATTCCTCTTCTTGCTGGCTGTCAATTTCTAGGCCTGCTTCTGAAGTAATGCTAGAAGAGGAGGAGGGGGAGGAAAAACACGTAAGTGTATTTACATAGTGTCAAAAAACTCAGGGACAAAAGCATCATCTTGGAGCAGATTTATGATGCAAACAATAAAAATCAATGTAAAAGATAACATAAAACAATAACCTACCCTCCTTTAGATTTGTAATGTGTTCGATCATAATACAAAATAGAGCAATTATTATAAATACTAAAAATTGCACTTGCAAAGTAGAAGACAAAATCACTTGTCTATTAAATTCCCAAGAACTGCTTACTTCCCTCCCTCCTGCGACATCTTACGTACTCGCACTGCCTTAACTCCATGACTTCATTATACATGCTTGCTTGTAACGAGGAGTGCTTTTCATTGTTAACAAACGGGAGTGCTTTAGCCTTTATTCTACAAACCCCAGTCCTTCAAACTGCTGCCTTTACCATCAGTATTTGACTACTGCCATTCTTAAAAAAAATACAGACCTTTTTTTTTTTGGTGACTTTGATATTAGCTATGTTGAATCAGAGGGAGAAAATCAGAAGAAAACCTGTGGTTTAGACAAACAGGTCAGATTGTACTTTTTCACAAAATTAATAAATCCTGTTTGAGCTGTCCTTCCTACCAGAATAGGTTAAATTGAAAGTGAATCACAGGCACACTTGGATGAAAACAAATGATTAAAACTAACATGACATCAAGCCTTAGTGAACCAAACAAGTCATAATTTACCCTTCAGATTCTGCCTCTGCAAAAACTTCATCCCCATCATCGCCCGCTCCGGCCTCTGCAGTGGTGGACAGATTGCCAGTGGATGTTGTAACCATTGGAACAGACTGGGAAGCGTGCTCGGACGCGTCCGCTGATGCGCTTTCAGTAAACACTGTCACTGCACAGGAAAGGCAGTTTAATAAACAGTGAGTTAGTTTTTATTTCCTACAGAAAATCGATGGAAATCTCAGGCAGGTCGGAGAGAGGGCTACTGGAATACTACTGACATAGCAATCACCACTGTTAACAACAATTATCTAATTCTTTTCTGGGAAGTCAGGGTTTGCGGCCTTTACTTCAGCCTGCAAATTTCTTGTGACTTACCTGGTGCTGCTACTTGTAATGGTGTTGTGGGTACGCTACGGCCACCCGATTCTTCCTCGTGAGCAAGGAATAGTGGGGTTTCATACATTCCTAAACCTGCAACACAGAAAGGTTTAGTGACAATTAAAACAGCCAGCTAAAAAGCAGATTAACTGCTGTTTTCCCTCTGTACCCTTAAGTACAAATTGCTGAATTTCATTAAATATGGAGATTCTTGTATTTTAAGTTGTTTCGACTTCCTGTCGGAGCTAATTATAATTTATTGAAAGGTAAAATCTTGATGAAAATATTACTACTTGTTTTTCAAGGGGGGAGGAATACTAACTCTCTCCCAGCCGAAACAAGGACAACTTTCTTCCTTTTCTTATGCTGTTTTTTTGCTGTGAGCTTTCTTCAAAGAACTGTTCCGTGCTGACAAGGATGCAGGGGAAAGGGACCGATTCAGGACAGGACAACGACAACACTGGCAAATTGCCTGGCCATCTCCTAGTAGGTAAGGAAACATCCCCAAGATTTCTTTGCATTTGCTGTTTTCCCCTATTGTTTTACTACAGGAAAGCTACAATCAACAATAAAATTGAAGTTAAAAGCCATTCCTTTAATATTTCGTTTCTCCTTAAATGAAGTTTCTTGAGCCCAGCAGGCAAAATCTGTCCTACATAGAATTTCAGCTTCTCTGGTTCCCAAGCTTGTTGTTCCTACCCACAAACCATTCTACTTTTTAAGCCATATTACAAGCAGAAATGTAGCAGCTTGAGAAACACCTTTTCACTTTCCATCAGTCTCTCTCTGCTGACAATTATTTAAGAGTTGCAGGTTTCCACACTTGAACAAGCACCTGAAGTAGAATTGCATTTTATTGACTGCATTATTTGTTTTTCACTCTAACAACCATGGAAAATAAAGCACAGAAATGGTTTACCTCCTTGTGATGCAAGCTGACCAAGGTCAGAGTGACTCGAGCTAGTCTGTGGCATGTCTTCAGGGGGTCCAAATCTGAATCTAGGAACTCCAGCTACCTGGGGGGAGCTATCAAAATAAAGATTTAAGGAATACTGCAATTTTTCCAATGAGTGGCTGGGGGGGACACACACACAACACACAACATGACAGCCTTCTGACCAAAACAAGAGAACAAATCATGCATTAGACAAAAGGAATTAATACTGTCCATAAAAATCAGCTAAACTACTGCTAATTAAATAGCAGTTAATTTCTCAAACTTATTTGGACTGCATCTGAAACCAGCAGAACCGTCCTGAAGAGAATATTTTTCACTTCTGCATCCTACAAATCCTCACAATTTTAAGCAGATTGCTGAAACTTTCCAGCACTGTCCCAAAACCAGAGGTAACTTTTCCAACTTTCATTGGTAATATTAACAGGGTGGTGGGAAGTGGGGAAATAAATTAAATAGAAGAACCTTTTTTTTTTTCTTCTTCTCTTCTTCAGTCAGTAAGTTACAACACATTGGAGATTATCAGCCTCCTAATTTGCTGATAAGTTTTATGATACACAATTCATACAATAATTACTTATTTGTAGATGCAGTCATCTATCGTACTACTTAGTACATTTTAGCATGTTACTCCAATCACAAGTTCATTTCATTTGAATGAAAAAATAGAAAGAAACAGATGCCCCCCCCGCCTTTTCTTCACATCTACTTACTGAATGGCTTCTGCAAACCCATCTGTACGATGTGGAACTACAAGAGTTGGTGTGCTTGGAACTGTTCTGTCCTCATCATCAAAGAAGTGTTGCTGCTGGAAGAAAAGAGACTGATATGAGAGCCTACAATATATTTCCAGTTTCTACCAAGCCGAGTTAAAGGTTGGTTTGCTTCTTCCACAAAGACAGATTTAGCTCTAACAAAATTCTTGTCTAATTTCAGACTTCTAAATCTGACTAGTTATACAGACCGCCCTTA